CCCTCCTCCCTCTGTCCCTCTGATCCCACACCAGCCCCCTTCTTCCCCTGCAGACATCAAGCCTGCCAATGTGTTCATCACGGCCACGGGCGTTGTGAAGCTCGGTGACCTTGGCCTGGGCCGCTTCTTCAGCTCCGAGACCACCGCCGCCCACTCCCTAGGTAAGGGGGCCTGTCTGTGCCCCAGCAGCCCCCAGTCCCAAGTGCCCATGGGAGAGATGTGAACAATCTCTCCACAGTACCTTTGGTTTACTCACCTCTTCAAAACGGTGACCTGAGGGAATAAACCGAGACTCCAGGGGTCCTGGCTGGGGCTTCCCTATGTCCTCGAGCCGCCTCGCCCCTTCCAGGAAAGGATGACTGAGCCCAGTCTGTGGAGCGGGGAGGCGTGGCCCTGTTGTGGTACCCGGTAGTCATTCCATCTTTTTCATTGCTGCGTAATGTTTCGCCTATGGGGCACCACATTTGGTCCCACTCCTCCTGCTGGGGGACGTTTGAGCTGTGTCCAGTCTTTGTTTTTTAAACTGTAGTTTTGAAGCTGTGGGGGCTGAGTGCTCCCAGGAGGAGGTGGCATTGTGGCTGGACTATGAGGAGTGAATAAGAGCTGGTGGAGGCAGCAAGGAGGGGAACCGGGTGAGCTGGAGAGCAGGGTCCCCAGGACCTTGGGTAGCAAAGAAGGCAGTGGGGCCTTGAATACTGAGCTCAGTGGGTGGGCACCATCCCAGGAGTGTGGGAGTGCAGTGGGCTGGGTGGGGAAAGAGGCCGTGTCCAGTGTGTGTCTCAGGTCACGTGAAGCACTGTTGAGCTTCAGAACCCACATGCTGGCTACGTAACTGAATGCGAAACCTGGAACAACAGAAGATGCAGAATTTTACATTTAACTGGACTAGAGAAGCCAGCAAAGCCTCCCAGGGAAACACGGACACAGGGCCCCTGTACATTACAATAGGATGTATCAGCATTGAACCAGGGTAGTGTGCAAACATTTCAGAGGCAGACGGGCGTCCCCCTTCCTGGAGCCAGTTCTAGGCTCTTCGGTGCGGTGTTTGCAGAGGACGGTGCGCCCAGGACCCCTCCCTGTGTGCTTGTGAACACCTCCCTTCATAACCGCTTCGTCCTCAGCTCCTCTCTGCCCCCCTGCACGGCCCCAGCCAGTGTCTCCTGTCCTCTGACCCTGAGGGCCTGCGGCAGGCCGTGGGCACACACAGCATCTGGTGCTGGTGGAGGTTCTTTCTGGAAGGCACACTTTCCTAATGGAAACTGTCACTGTTCATATAGGTCCCGGTGGCTTAGAGGCTCTCAGGGCACAGCATGCCATCAGGAGAGATGTGCTAACACTCTAGATCAACAGCTCTGAGCTGCTTATAGGGGTGTGAGAGTGTGTGTGTCAGCATGCTTGTGTGTGTGCATGTGTGAGTGTGTGTGCGTGTGTGGGGCGTGTTCTTGCGTGCATGTGGGTGGAGTTGTTGTGAAACTCCGCTCCATCTGACCCTGGAGGATACCTGGCACGTTGTTGGTCTTCTGTTTGTTCAAAAAGGAAAAAACCCACTGTCCCATGCGTTTATGACACTTCATTCGGGCCTCAAATAGCGAATGAGGAATCTGAAATCCAGGGAGCTCGAGTAACTTCAGAGTCCCACAGCGGCAGAGCCAGGCCCCGAGTGCAGGGCTCACATGGCTCAGCCCACGCTTCCTCCACCAGGCTCAGGGGCCTTGGGAGACGATGCTGGGTCCTCCCCTGGAGCTCGGCCACGCACTGGCTCCTGGGGGACACCTTGTCTTTCCCTGACCCCTCAGACCCTTCTCTTGGTGAAAATCAGTGTGTCTATTAGTTTGGGACTGTTTGCCTCTCTGGTTAAGAGCTTCAAAAAGCCCGAAACTCAGGGGAAACCATCAGAGGGAAGAGTTAAAGCCACTCTCTCCTGTCCCCTGTCAGTCAGGTCCCAGCCCTTCTCTGTCCCGCTGGGGAGAAGACTGCGGTGCTCGTCAGAGCCAGTTAAAATCACATCATTAGGAGCGGGCAGAAATATGGGCTCACCGACAGCACGAGTTTATCGACTTGACTGCTGCACTTATTATATTAATGAGCAGGAATTGGAACTTGGGAAAGGCTGCCCCTGGAAGCCTTGTCCTTCCTGACGCCTCCGAGCTACCGACTGGGCGTGGTGGGTGGAAGGAGACCTCCTGGGGTCGAGGTCCCAGAACAGAGGTTGACAGTGCAGAGCCAAAGCCCAGATGCGGGAGAAAGACCCCCTTCCACAGCGAGAGTCTGCAAGCAGCTGACTGAGTCTTGCACACACATTAGTTGGGGAGAGATTGAAGTCATTGCCATTGGATCATGACTCAGGAAGGATGCAGGAGGTGGGGCTGCTTCTCACCCGCACACGGGTATGAATTATGCATCTCTGCAAACCTACTACGTGGGGCTGCTGTGGTGGCAGCCACGTTGCCCTGGCAACCACCTCTCCTGGGCTGCAGACCCACTGGCAGGGCTCATGCAAATCTCATTTCCCTCTGCCACTCCCTCCCCCAGCCCCCACCCCGCCTCAGTATTTGCTAACACGAGGCTGGCATGAAAGGGCATTAGTCATGCCATGGCCGGGCTGACAGGTGCGGTACCCAGCGGTGGCAGAGCGGCTGCCTCGGTGTCAGGCATAGGAGCCGTAATTAGAGCGAGGAACAGAATGAGCGTCAGACGAATTACCAGGCAGCAGATCATATTTGTCAGGAAGGATTGCATACATAAAAATTAAGTGACAGTACACGCCGGCATAATGAAAGAAAAATGAAAGATTTGCCTATACACAGCTCACAAGCTACAAGCAAGTGTCTCGCTCCGAGCAACGGCAGAAGCTGCAAGACAAATTGTGGGACTGGGAGAGCAGGCCCTGCTTCTCAGTAGCCGTGACAGGGTGGCCTCAGGCTGGGGTCAGGGGTGGAAGTGAGGCTGGCTCATGCCCATGGCCGTGCAGCGCCTCACAACGCCTCTCAGTCCTGTTGGGGGGTGACCCCCCGTCAGGTATAGGGGTCAGGGCCTGCTGGCTTTCCCAGGCCGTGAACCCTTGGCCTGGCCGCCTTCCCTGGACTAGGTACAAAGGACATGAGATTAGGTGACCTTCCCTGCTTTCAGGATGCCCCCAGACTGGTGAGGGGACAGAGTCAGTCCCAGGGTGGCATAGGTGGGGACAGGTGGAACCATATCCTGAAAGGCCCACTGTGTGCAGGCACAGTGCTGAGCTCCGTGTTGAAACCAGGGGCAGGCTGCCTCGGCCCCTCCCAGGGCTGCCCTTTATTTCAGTTTTCTGTAGTCACTGAACTCACCAAAGAGGTGAGTTAACAAAGAAGGCAAGGCTTAAAAGATGTTTGAAAAAACATTTTGCTTTTAAAAAAATCATCCCACCAAGGCTTATTATCTCCATTTGACAGATGAGGAAACTGAGGCTCAGGGAAGGCAGTGGATACTGGAGCCCTCAGGGTGCCGGTTCCTCTCCAAGCACAAACCTGCATGCTGGGAAGTGGGCTTGGGTCCTGATGAGTTCTCTGGGTGCAGGGACACCCAGGGCACGGAGCACCCAGCCACTCCGGGAGGAAAAGCCCATCCAACTTCACAGCCGTGGGCCACAGGGAAGTAGGGTGGAGCCTCCTCTCCTTGTTGAATGGCAGCACTCCCACGAGTGTCCCTGTACCTGGCGTTAGGTGGGCCCCATGGGACATTTGCCAAGTGGGCAGACAGTCCTCAGGCCAGTCATCCCTGGGGACCCTGCCAGTGTGGTTCCCGAGCCCTGTGCAGATGCGTCCCTGGCCCTGCTCCCACCTGTCCCAGCAGCGCAGGATGCCTGTGAACAACTGGCCTGGAAAACCTGTTTCAGCAGGTAGAGCCCAGGTTCTGAGTGCTGACACCTGGGCAGGAGGTCATGGGAGGCCACACCTGCCTGGCCGGTGGTGCCTGCCTCGTCTGCCACATCCCTGGCATTTTTAAGGATACAAACTGTTAGAACAAGACAAGCTGATGCCAGAGCGAGAAGGGGAGGGTCTCAAGGGGACTGCATGTGAAGAACTGATCAGGCCTAGCATACAAACTACAGTTCACCTGTTCGTTCACTCATTCACTCAAGAAGGATTTGTGCCAGGCCCAGCTGCTCACGGGAAGGCCCCTGTCCTCTGGAACTTACAGGCTGGGGATGGAAATGCATTCAGTCTTCGCCAGGAACCAAGCCCTGTTCCAATAATTCTGCCCTGGTATCGCCTCATTTAGCACTCCAGGCCCCTGGGGGCGGGAGTCACCGCAGAGCAGGTGACCAGGTCCGGCGAGGTGAGCACCCTTGCGATGCAGATGCGGTGGGCGAAGGTGAGGGTGAGGCGTGCTCATACCTCTTTTTTCCACCTGAGACTCCGAGTCATCTTGGGTGGGACCCCGATACCTGGAAACACAGTGCTGTGCAGAGTCAAAGAATCAAGCCCCCGATCTTCACATCTATTAGAGATACTCAGTATGGGAACTAGAAATAGGCGGATATTTGTGCCAATGCAAACAATCTGAAATTAAGTCAGTGCTGCTACAAGTACAGTGTTTCTCTGACGTTGCTGCTTCTCCTGAGGACTGTATATAGCTTAGCATAGGGTCGGCTGGTAGTTCATTTAAGGAGGACTTGATGATAAGCGGTGACACAGGTGAGCCTGGGGGGAGTGGGGCGCTGGGATCAGGAACAGTCTGGAAAGGCCGCAAATGCCAGGCTGAGGACCTGGCCTTTCTCCTGTCGGGGATGAGGCGGCAGGGCCCCTGCCTTGGTGGGTAGGACGGGTGGGAATGGACAGGACAGGAGGCAACCAAGCAGTCAGTTGTCCAGGCGAATGAGGGCAGCAGGCAGGGGGACAGAGGGGAGGGGATGCCTCAGGATGTGGGGCCTGGTTGGATGTCGGGGGTGGATCACAGAGAGACCAGTGCAGCTCACACTGTCCAACACCAAAGACACTGCTCTCTGAGTTCCAGAACCTTCTTGGTTCTTGCCCTGCTCTCCACTACTCTCTCCCTCCCAGGGTCTGTGGGCAGCCCTGCCTTCCCAGAGCCCTTCCCCATCTTCCACGCGGGAAACCAGGGCTCTGAGGGTTGGGGGAGGGACCCAGGGACCGTGAGCTGGACCTCTCCGTTTCACCGATAAGGAAACCAGCCTAAGAGGGAGGCCCAGTTCTCTGCCGAGTGGCTGGAGCAGGTCGGGCCTGCTGGCGGGTGCAGCTCCCAGTGCGCCCTCCCCCCAGCCCGCACTGTCGGGCCCACAGGGGGACCCAGTCTCGCCTGGCCGATGGACGCCGGCGACCCTACATTTCTCCAGCCATTTTCAACTCCACCGTGTGGGAAAGAAGCCCAGCCCACAGACACCAGCCTCTCCTTCATGTGGAATCTTTGCCTTTTTCATAGCTAATGAGCCTGTTTCAAACACTGCGAGCATTTCAAACCATGGCCAAGTTTGTTTTGACAGGAGTGGCGCATCTCGGGGAAGCGGGGCCCCTTTAATCAGCCTCTGCTTTGAGGTCCCCAGTTCTCCTCTGATATCTGCGGGGTTTGAAATCTGGGCATTCTAGGTACAGACACGGGAAGGTCAGGGTTTCTTAGGCTCCTCTTTCATATGCAGAGCTTGGGCCCCCTCTGTGAGTGAGGAGAGAGGGTGGGGGCACACTGGTCTGACGGGGATATTGCTGGAAGGGGATTTGAGACACAGGCTGTTGGCTCCATGTCTGAGCATCCCTGTGGGGCTGTGCTGCTGATCTGCCAAGTGCCCGCGGAGCACCCCCTGGGCGGGATGAGGGCAGGCCCACGCGGCCTTCAGACACCTCCTCGTGCCAGCCTCTCCCACTTTCCCCAGCATCACCGCTCCCCTGGGGTTTGGGGACACATCCTCCAGGGCCCACTGAAAGCTTGGAACCTCTTTGAAGTCTCTCATCTTATCTTGAAAACTCACGCATGTTTTGCATTATGCTTCAGAATGTTTGAGGACTTGTCAGTATAAAAATCCGGTTTCACAGACTTATTCCCAGGGAACACTGGCAAAACAGGAGGAGGGGCTGTGTTCACCCCCTGCAGCTTTGTGCACCCCTGGAGCAAGTTGAGGACCCCTCTGATGAAGCAGAGCACCCCAACTTTAAGACTCACAGACCAAGGTGGAGCATGCCCCTACTCTCCCCGCCAGGGTCAGAGGACTGGAGAATCTGCCCCGAGGTGTGGGGACCCGGTGTCCAGCGGGGACAGCTCAGACTTCTCTCAGTTAACACTTCATAAATTCATTTGGTCCACAGATGTTCTGAGCATCTGAAGGGCTGGCGGGTGGTTGAAATTTTGCACAGCTCCTCCCGAGCTGTAACGTGCACCAGCATCTCCAGGGAGCTTGTGTGAGATGCCGGTGTTCATGTTCCAGCCCTGGAAGTTCTTATCCTGTGGTGCTGGCGTGGGGCTGGAACCAGAGTTGTAACGAGCTCCTCCAGGGGATTTGGCTGCAGCCACTGATCAACCCAGCCTTTCCTTGATCAACTGGCTCCTTCCAGACACTTCCTTGGACAGGCAACTCACTACCTCCCAATGGGCCCAGCGCAACATCAGAGCTCAGTTAACATTGGGTAGAGATGGATGGATGGACAATTACGGATGGATGGACAGATGGACTGTTGAATGGATGGATAGATGAGCAGATGGATGATGGATGGACAGACTGATGGATGTCTGGATCAATGGCAACTGCAGCACTGGCATCTTAGAAGAAAGTCCAAATTACATCTGAGTGTTTGCCTTCATGCCTTAAACCAGTGGAAAACGGGGTAAAAGCAGAAAGAGCAGTGAGGAGGTGGACGGGTGGCAAGTAGGCAGAAGGGGTGGTGTGTTCCCTAACCTTTCTCTCCCGCGGCCCCAAGGCTTTTACCACAAGTGGAGCTGAGGCAGGGATCAGAGCCTCGGCAGAGGGAGAAAGTGGTGACAAGACACAGACAGACCCAACGTCCTCACTGAGTAGCCAACTCTCGCTGGCCAGGGGAAGGGCAGTTGAACTGGACGTGAAGGAACTCGCCAGGAGGCGAAGGGAACAGCATGTGCAAAGGCACAGAGATGAGTTGAAGAGCAAGCTGGGGTTGGGGTTGGGGGAGGGCAGGTGTTGGGGACTCGAGCAGGGGCCAGGTACTCCAAAGCCTTCACTTTCAGATGGGCCTGGCCACTGTGCCGGTCCTTTAGATCTGCCCAGGCAGATCTAACATGAGCAGAGGGAAGACAGTGTGGCAGGAGGCGGCAGGGCTGGCCCGCACTCCTAGCCCGGAGGGGGCTTGGCCGTGGGTCTTCGGGGTGCAGTGCAGCCAGACGGGGCACTGCTGTCTCTCCTTGCGGACAGGGCCTCCGATCCTCTTTTCCCCCGCTGTCCCTGCTGTCTGTGTGTATCCTGTCAGCCCCACGTGGCCTTTCAGTGTGGAGACGGTTCTCACCTCCTAGGCATGTCCATCAACAGCACCCTGAGCGCTGGAATCACTTACAGTTTGGGCTGAGGTTCCCGCTGTTAACTGAGAACTGTTTGGATGTCACCCCGCGATTTGGTTATGACAAGTCATCCATTTCACACTTGCCTGTTCATTGTCTTCTTGCTCCCTCATGACCAAAATATACAAGACGCTGCCACCGGAAGCTGTAGTTTGCTTCTAGAATCCCACAGGTACTCGCACGTTGACTGACAGCTCTTTCTGCTGAATGGCAATTAGCCCCTGACTTTAGCCCTAAAATATACGTAGGATTACGCGGTTCTCAAACCCTGTGCGTCAGCGGTGGCTGCTGTCCTTGTTGCGGGATTATTGCCATCAGAAGTGCTGGGTGCTCTGATACAGTAGAAGTCAGGGCTCCCTCGTGGGCAGCCATCGGTTAAGGAAACAGTGCACTGGGCTGTAAGAAACAAGTGTGAGCACTGACATGCGCTGTCTGATAATGTGAAATGGATTCATTGACTCAGTGAGTAGACGCTTACTAGGTGCCCATTGTGACCTGTGACCTGGCCCCGGGCAGGGCGCAGGGAACACCTCCGTAAACAAGGTCACACCCCCGGGGAAACCTGAACCTGGGCTTCCAACACCTCACAGCCTCTACACGTCCATGCGACAGATGCTCTCATACATCTCCAGTGAGGTGAGAAAAACAAAATAAAGCTTTCAAACAGCTAAACATTTTCCATGGTAAAAAACGCTCCCTGATTTTGAGATGAGTTTTCTAGAGTGAAAGTGTCTTTTCTTTTTAAAATAATGGTGACACTGAATGGTAGTTGGGGTTTTGCATTTTTTCAGCACCTTTACTTGGCAAAACTTAGTTGCCCTGAAACATGTCTGGCCCATGAAACCCTGAAGCCGTGATGGACCCCTGTTTCGGGGGCCTGTGCTTTCCAAGTCCAGCTCAGGGACAGGCCTGTCCTCCCAGAGTCCCGTGCATTTCCGTGGTGCCAGACGTCTCTCCTTCCCAGAATGGTCAGCCACATCTCAGGCTCAGCTAGCCTCTGCCTTGCTGGACTTCAGCTTCCTACACAGACTCTGGCCAGTCCTTCTGTAAAATGAGGATGCCTCCTCATGGCACTGTTAGAAACAGAAATGAGCTAACACATGACATGCTTGGTCAATGTTAACAGTGGTGGTTGGTCAGTTGCTACCCAGAGCTTGGCTGCTGCATCCCACTTCCCCGGGCAGTTGGCAGAAACACCAATCCCAGATGCCCAGTCCCCAGATTGATTCTCAGGTCTGGGTAGGTCCCTGTCCCCAGGGGCTTTTAGTACCCTGCTAGTACAGGAACCTTCGATCTGGCCCAGCCCTCTCATTTGAAAGAGGGGACAGGAGGAGAGGGAAAGGAGCTGCCCAGGGTCCCTGTGAGACTGAGCCTGGGTCTCTCGCCAGCCCCATGCCCTTCCCTCCCTTGTGCTCGCGTGCCCTGCCCCTGCACAGAGAATAAGCACCCACTCCCTTGCTGTGTTTCAGTGGGGACGCCATACTACATGTCACCGGAGAGGATCCATGAGAACGGCTACAACTTCAAGTCCGACATCTGGTCTCTGGGCTGTTTGCTGTATGAGGTGAGCTCAGGGCACTTGGTAGGGTTTTCATGGTGGGCATCCAGCCAGGCTGGGGGCACCCCACCAGCTCAGTGTGGGAACCCAGGGATGGGCGATATCCGCCTGTGGCATCTGGGTCCATTCCCAGATCTGGTGCCATCCTGGAAGGAGGGACAGGACATTTCTGAGTCTCAGTAAGCTCAGACGTGAGACACCGTGAGCAAATAGATGCCCCACCCATTTTAGCCAGCCACCCTTGGGCCTCAGATGACTGGGGCTCAGGGGAGCACAAGCCATTTTCAGCCACGAAGCTCTTCCAGAGGGAGGGAGGGAGACCCGAGCCTCTAGTATCTCTAGCTGGTGTCCACACTACCCAGGCCCTGGACCACCTCATGCTGAAATTCTCTCCAGCTGCCCCTCCAAGTCCAGTTACTTCTTCTGGTGAACACTGTGGGCACGGGGGCTGCCGAGGCCAGTGACAAAGCCAAGCCCAGGTCACGTGCTGACCTGGCTGTCCCTGGGCTCAGTGCTCCACCATCAACAATCCTGCCCACCCACCCACGCCCCAGCCAGGGTCTGAACAGGGGATTCCAACCACCTCTAAGTGGGCATCGTCTGCCCGGTGTCATCCTGAGGGGGAGGGGCTGCTGCCCTGTGTCTCCCAGGACCAAGCAAATGCCCTTTGCTTAGCAGGCGGCCAGGGGGTGCTGTTTTGAATTAGTGTGCGCGCCTGTGCATGTGTGCGTGTGTGTGTGTGCAGCTCAGATAAGCATGTTAATTTGGGTGAGAGATGCAGCATCCTGATGTGGACCTAGACTTTGGCCAGCAGGAAGCCCAAGTGCAGCTCGGCTCCCGTCCCCGTGGACTCAGCCCTGTCCTTCTGCCCATGTGGTTATTGTCCCTGGTCCAGATGGTGTGTCCTTATTTTCCATTCCGCATTTGGGATTTCCGTAAGCTGCACCCTGCCTCTGTGAACCGTGAGGGTCTTCAAACATAAACCAACAGGCACACAGGCTGACTAGTGTGGGACAAGTGCCCATGTCCCCGGGGCCGGTGGGGAGGAGGCAGCAGGCCCCCTGTGCCTGTACCACGCCTTCCACGCGAGATCCGGCCTGCTCCCTGCCCGAGCCTGCGTCTCAGCTCCTAGCGGCAGATGCATCTGAGCCGGTCCGCAGTGCTCACCTCCCGGCCTCTGGGCCAGGCAGCCCTCCGGGTCCTTGTCTTGGGCACCTGAACGCATGTCTAACGAGGCAGCTTCCATGTTAGTGGCTCCCGCGCAGAAGCTCTGGTTCGCCGGGGTGATTTATTTGTTGGCAGTGTGTGGGACCACGTGGCTTGCAGCCTGGGAGGGACATATCGGCAGTGGGAAATCGATGAAATCAATCAGTGGGTCCTGTGGGCACTGACATCCTCAGGGACAGCAGGGCTGATCCCAACCTAATGGCCCTGGGCCTCCCACAGAAGGGGACTTTCATGGCTGATGTGGCCGGGCATGGCCAGCCCCTCCAGGGGTAACAGTTGGCGAGGGGCTCTGCCCTGGGCTCCCACCCCTCTCCCCTCTTCCCTCTTCCCTAGCCCTGCCGGGAAGTGGAGGCGAATGTTTTCCCAGCAGACAAGAGAGGGAGACGCATCTGAGCCTGGGGTTTGGTAATTGGAAGGAAACATCCCACAGACACGACTGAAGCTCCCGCCACACAGCCTTTGGTGTGTTCCTGGTGTACCAGCCTGAAGAGCTGTGACAGAGGCTCCCCCACCCACTCCAGACCACATCTAAGGATTTGGTGTGGCCCCCAAAGAGCACACTTGGGCACAGAGCCAGGGAAGACCTGTCCCTGATAGGGATAGGCCTGCCCTTCCCTGAGCCCCAGTGGGGACAGGAAGAAACAAAGCCCTTGGTTTTCTGTGGCTTCCGTAACCACTCACAACAAAGTTGATGGCTTCACGCAACATAAAATTATTCTCTTACCGTTCTGGAGGCCAGAGGTCCAAAGTCAGTTTCACTGGATTAAAGACAAGCGTCATCAGGGCTGGTTCCTTCTGCCGCCTACGTTCCTGGGCTCGTGACCCCATCACTCCCTCGGCACACCTCCTCCTCTTCTGTAGGCAAATCTCTCTGCCTTTCTCTTATAAGGACACTTACGGTTACATTTAGGGCCCACCTGGATCACCTGGAAGTCTTAATTTAATCACACCTGCCAAATCCCTTTTGCCATGTAAGGTAACACATTCACAAGCTCCAAGGATTGGGACAAGGACCTCTTTAGGGGCCATTGTTCAGCCCACCACACCCCATTTTACCTGGGCAACGGGATGTCCACCGAGGACCTCCTGAAGTCACCTAAGATGCTGATGTTAACCATGGCTAGTGCAGTGAGGAGCCACCCACCACAAGGCACTACACCTGGCCCGTGCCCTCAGGGGTGTGTGCCAGGTGGGATCTGTCTTGAAGAGGTCAGCATAGGAGATGCCACACAGCTCAGCAGCTGGAGTGACACTGCCCTGGACACCGGAATGAATCACAAGAATTGCAGCAGCCCGGTCCCAGCCTCGCTCTGAGGGAGGAAACTGAGGCTCAGAGAGGTGGAGAGCCTTCCTGGTGTCACACAGCAAGGAAGCAGCCAAGTGGGGCCCTGGACCCCAGGCTGCCTGTTAAAGCTTGTTCTGTAGACAGGAGCCTGGCCTGTTCCTTCTCCCCAGCCAGCGGGGTAGGCATGGCCTTGGTGGAGAAGGAGACACGGAGTCTCTGCCCAGAGCCCCTGGGAGGGCAAAGCCAGGTTGTGAGGAGGCCCAAGTGACTTCAGCGGCCCCTCCTCTGCCCCGGGAGCTCCCAGCAGAGATGCCCGAGTTCCGCCGGCTGTGTTGGAAGGCCTGATGCTTTATTTTCATTACCCAGCACACCCCGTGGAGGCGCCCAGCAGGCTGCCCGGCTCTGCAGAATTTATTTATCTACATGGGAGCTGAAGGAATTGGCTCATTCAGTGCCAACTCCAGGATCCTCAGCTAGGGGGGCCTCACAGCTGCCCCCAGGAGCCTGTGTGGGACTGCAGCCTGGCTAGAAAGCAGACCAGGAAAAGACCAGGAATCAATTGCACTTGCTGGGAATCCTGCTCTGGAATTCTGGCCTGAGCCAGAGAATGGTCTGGATGCCCTCACCTCATGGGGGAGCAGGGCTGCAGACTGCTTGGTGATGGGCCTCTGGGTTCAGACTCTGGGACGTGCTGGGCAGATGCTGGGTGACGAGAGGGGTGTCTGAGTCCCTGACAGGGTGGGAGTCACAGACAATCGCTGTCCTCTCTACAGTCAGATTCCCCTTGTCCGTCTGACATCTCTGATCACACACCAGTTCCTCTGAGTACCCCCCCCCCAGTGGGTGCCAGTGCCTGCACTCTCCCATCTCCCTGGCTGTGTGTCCCAGTAATGCCAGGCAGAGAAAGTTCTGCATTTGAGAAACAGCCCTGGGAGCCATGGCTTTGGCAGTGCTAACGAGGTAACCAGCATCAGCCCCAAAGAGCAATTCCTCTTCTCAATCAGAGGAAGGGCGTCACCGGTACAGGGAGATCTCGCCATCCACAGTCATCCGTCTGATCCCAGCATCCCACGCAGCCCCAGAGGTTCCTTCACAGCCCAGTGCCCTGATCTGGGTGGATGGCCCGTGGCCGGCAGGCAGCTGGAGGAAGTTCGCTGCTCCCGCCAGAATCTGCATTTGGGATGGAGAAGCCACTGCTCACAGGAGCTCTCTTGGCCTCTGCTGGCATGGCCCACTGCTGACCCTGTTCAAGCTTTTCCGAATAGTATAGGGAAGGTGCCAGGAAGGAGGGAGAAACCATCTGAAGGGAATGGCAGGCAGATATAGGGCTTGCCCCTCGCCAATTTCTGGGCCCCTTTTGGAATCGCAAACAGCAAGGCTTTTGCAAATCAGATCAGACTGGCTTACGGAAAGCGTCACCAAGTTCCTCTCCCAGGTCGGACACATTAAAAACCAGGGCCTGTGTTATGGGGCCAGCATTTAAATGTCCTTTCTACCCTGACAGAAACTCTTTGCAGGAAAATCCATCTTAATCCCCCCACCATGACTCCGAAGGCACCCAGATCATCCTGAGTGACCCCCTGGAGCCTCAGCTGCTCTCTGCTGTGGCAACAGATGTTCTTTTGAAACTGCTCAATTAACCCTTTGCACCCAAGGTTCTCGTATTAATGATTGGAAACGCATCACCCATGCGATGCCATTTTGTACGCTTAGTGGTGACGCTGGTTCCCGGTCAGGCTGGCGGAGCCATAGGAGCAGGGCCTCTACACACTCAACCTTCCCTGCCAAGTGCCAGGGCCACGCACTTTATGCAGCCTTCTCTCAGTTTATGCAGGTTCCCAGCCCTCTCGGGGGGGCCCAAACCCCTGGTCCTGGTGGGTAGAGAGGTGAGGCTGGCCCCAGACACCCACCTGGAAGCGCACAGCCTGGCCCAGGCACCTGAGCTCACAGCTACTGCCCAGGCACGCTCCTGGACCCGGGTCAGAGGAAGCCCCCAAATCTCCAGGCTACACTGCAGCCTCCCCAATGGCCATTTGGAAACCCAAGGATGCTGCCTGGGCTCTGAAGCCCCCTGGGCCCTTTTGGAGGCAGGCCCTGCTCTTGGGAAAATAAGCCAATGGGTACCCACAAAGCCAGCCCCCTGCCGTGAGATAAGGAGCACTGGGCCACCCTCCAGGCCCGAGGACAGGGAGGGTTCCTCCGTATCCCAGGGCCCCGTCAGCACCGGAGCCCAGGAGCCCTCGGCCGGGATCCGTACAGAGCGGCCTTGGCAACCTGGCTCCTCCAAGAGAACTAGGGCCAAACGGACAGACAGGCACAATTACCCGACTGCACTTCATTAGCAGGAGGCGTCAGGCCGCCTTTTGGCGGCAGGCAGCAGTGAGTGGAGTGACACGAAGCACTTGAATCCCATTATGGATTAATCAGCAGATGGGCCTCGGGCTCCGTGCGGGGCCACCGTGGGCTGCCTCGTGGAGCCTGCCCCATGGCTCCCGCCTGCCCCCTTTGAAGACATCCCCCAAGAGTGCTCTGAATGGTGGGGTGAGGAGTCTGGGTGCCCTCCAGACGGGGAGGCCTGGTAGTTCCCTGACTGGGTGAGAACCCCGCCGGGGCTACCACAGTTCTTCCACTTCCCAGTGCCCCAGGAGCCGGCCTGCCTTCAGGGCGCAGCCTGGGCCACAGCCTCATCAGAGCCCTGACGGCTCAGCGTGGGTGCCTCCTCCTGGGCCCCCCAAACCTCACAGCCCTGCAGGTGGAGCCTCTTCCTGTTTGGGGCAAAGGTCAGGCACAGCCAGCACACACCAAGAGAGGGCAGAGCGGGGACTAGGAGAGTGGCCGCTGGCTGCAGAGCTGGAGCTTCAGGGAAGCACAGGGCTCCAGGGTCGCAGCCGCCCCACCTTCCTCCTCCTGCCTGCCCTCCCTGATGTCTGGGCATCCCACTTCCAAGACAGCAGTAGCCAGGCCTTCGGGCAGTAGCTCTGTCGTGGGCTGGTAAAAACAACCAAAATTAAAGCCAAAAATGAAATGCCTCCTCCTCCCCCCCAAAATGTTTGTCCTTAGGTAATTCCCTAAATTTATTACTTAAATAGACATCCTCCCACAGGCGTTTTTGGAATCGCTTCTTAGAAATATAGGACGATGCCCCGAGGGGACCTGTGGGCCCAGGCATCAATCCCAGGGAGCAGAGCCCCTGTTCCGCCACCTGCTATGTGCCGCGACCACCATCTGCCCTCAGGGGCGAGGCATGAGGTGGGCGTGGGCCTGCACGTGGCTGGCCCCCAGTATTCACGTGGCCCCAGCACATGGCTGGCCCCCAGTATTCACGTGGCCCCCTGTACGTGGCTGGCCCCCAGTATTCACGTGGCCCCCTGCATGTGGCTGGTCCCCTGATTGCCTTTAAAGTTTTGTCACTGAAACCCTTGTCTCGTTTAATTTGTTGTGTAACAAGGACCATGTTAAAACGGCCACTTATGTCAAATCCCAGCTACCTCAGGCTTTTGGGGATGTCCTGCTGGACAGTCGTTGCAGTGGGGACCAGAAAAGGACCACACCCCAAACTGGACCTCAAGGCTGAAAATTCCTCTCTCCTACCCCCTCCCCCTGCAGATGGCTGCTCTCCAGAGCCCCTTCTATGGAGACAAAATGAACCTTTTCTCCCTCTGCCAGAAGATTGAGCAGTGTGACTACCCGCCTCTCCCTGGGGAACATTACTCTGAGAAGGTGAGTAGGCTGCCGCCAGGGCCAGACCTGGCGAGCCCCAGACGGCTTGTGGGGAGGGGGCTTGAGCTTGGGTTCAATTGACAGGGTGGGGGAGGGAAGATTTCTGGGAAGGTGACTCGGAGGGAAAAGTCAATTATTGTTACTGAAGAGCTTTTACACCAGTGTGGGCCCAAAAGCAGGTTGGTGGCCCACCCACTGGTACAGAACCCAGGAGCCAACGAGGAGGTAGTCGGCACACCTCTGGGTATGCGGCCCCCAACCTGGGGCCCGAGTGTGAGGCTCACTGCCACATGTCCCGGTCCTGGGTTCCAGAGAAAAGCTCCGCCTAGTGTCAGACACAGGAACAAGACGTGAGGCTGGAGGGGGCAGGGCCTTGGCCCCCACCACCACCGTTGGCTGCCACTCCGCTCCAGTGATAGGAAACCGCGGCAAACGCACTGGTGTCCTTGCTGTCGCAGACCTAAGTGACACCTTGGGTGGTTTTTTAATCCTCACTTGATATTTTTTCCATTGCTTTTTTTCAGAGAGAGAGAGAACATTATTGATGTGAGAGACACACATTGATTGGTTGCCTCCTGCACAACCTGGGGATCAAGCCTGCAACAAAGATAGGTGCCCTTGATCAGGAATCAAACCCAGGACCCTTCAGTCCATAAGGCAACGTTCTAACCACTGAGCAATACTCGCTAGGACACACCTTGGATTTTTATTTTCAACATTTCCACTGGGTACAGGGGCTCTGGACACGGACTCTAACAGGTCTGCACTGGGCTGTGTCAGGTACCGTGTGTTAGCTTCACCTTCCCCAGTTCCGTGACCTTAAAAACAGGGCTAATATTTGCCTTCATGAGTAAAATGCGAGGGTGAAATGACAGGTTTACAGCCCAGCACAGCTGAGAGTATCGACAGATGCACATAGGTTTACGTGTTCCCTTCACTGTTCTTGGGCATGACACTGAACTACTCTCACTTTTCTCATCTGTAAAATGGGGATACTCCTAGGACCTACCTCACAGGGTCAGTGCATGTGATGTGCTCAGTCTAGTGCCAGGCTGACATTGACCCCATCATCAAAAGGAGCCTTTGGACGTAGCACAGGGCCTGGCTCAGAGTAAATGCTCAGTAAGCGTCAACTACTTTATTGTCATTTCTGTTCAAGGTTAATGCTAGTAGATGTTATTGTTATTTCTGTCCAAGGTCAACCTAGTGCCTGTGAAGGGGAGTCAGACCTCCCTGGGCCTGCCCTGCCCTGGGCCTCATGACAATGACATCTCACATTTATGACCCACTGTGTTGGATCCTCCCCATCCCATTTTACCAATGAGGAAACTACACAGCCCGATTAAGTCATTTGTCCAAGGTTACATAACTTGCAAGTGGCAGAGGCAGGCTTTGAACCCAACCTTTGAGCTTGATGCCACGCTCATTGGCTTCAGACTAGGCTGTGTGTCTGGGAGCGAGAGGTGCTTCTTGGCCCTGGAGTCCCCAGCACACCTCACTTTTTAAGTTCTCTGGCCTCTTAGAAATGGAAATAGACACTTGTTTTTCTTATAAAATTTTCAAACATGCCGTTATGCTAATAGCATGGTCTACTCACAAATGATGATTGAGGTCACATAAACTTCACTTTAATCCAGTTTTCTTGGGTACTTCCCCTGTCAGAGGCCTGCCACAGCTCCCTTCCTCTGAGTACTGTAAGGACTGAAAAGTATTGTCTCATCCTGGGCAACCTCGGTCTCCAGGAGTGTCGAGCCGGCTGCAGGCTCAGCTCATCTGCCCCAGGCCTCCCAGTGTTTATAAAGCGGTGGAGTCCCAGAAAGGAGACACGCAGCTCAGAGGGATGCTCACCATGCCTGACCCGGAGGAACCCCGTTTGCAGCCCGGAACACCTCAGGAGTGACTCGTGGATTGTGTACAGCAGCCCGGGGCCTCCACATGACCTTTCTGCCCTCCCCAGACTCCCCTGAGCATGGCCATGGAATCCACATGAGCCCCCTTATTTAGGACCAGCGCTCTCCCACTGCTGCCCCCGACCCCGCAGGGCCAGCCAGGCCTTCCAGCAGCAGGTATTTAAGTGAAAAAATTGCAGTGAGCCCAGTGATGCAAGTTAAGATGTAGGCTTTTTAAGGTCATTATTTTAATTACCATTAAAATAATTGGCACTCTGGCTATCAGAAAGGAGGCGATCAGAGGCTCAAGGCGCCCCTCCCCCAGCCCAAGGCGGGTGCAGCCTTCAGTGTCTGTATAATTAAAAGCTCCGTCTTTCATGAGCACAATAGAGAGGCCAGGGGGTGGGCAGACTGCAGCCCTGCTGCATGTTAATGCGTTTATTATGATCAATAAGCCCTCGCCTGGAGTTTTGTCCTCTGGCTTGGGCATCTGCGTGACTGACAGCAGACACACGCACAGAGTTGCCTAGCTGTGTGGACAGCTGAAAGTTCAGAATTATTTGGGGCTAACCACTCCTACGGTCTCAAAGCATGGCCTTCGAGACTGGACAGGTGTTGGACCGGCCCTGGCTCTGCAGTGGCTGTGACGCACCCATCGCCTACCCCCTTAGCGTCGTCCCTCGCCCTCGGGCGGCCATGCGGGCCGTGGGAGCGGCTGTGGCGCTGCGGCGCCTCGGCCAGGCCGCCCTGGGACTAACGCCAGCTCCTCTCCCTTGCAGTTACGAGAGCTGGTCAGTATGTGCATCTACCCCGACCCCAACCAGAGGCCCGACATCGGGTACGTGCACCAGGTTGCCAAGCAGATGCACGTGTGGACTTCAAGCACCTGAGCGCGGCGCGGACGGGCGCCTCGGCAGAGCCAGCGCCACTCTGCCCCGAGTCTCCTCTCCGAAGCGGCCGCCGGCAGCCCAGTCACCTCAGCCCGGAGGCTCCAGCAGGTCCCCCTGGGGCCAGCTTTACCGCAGGCGCTGACTGCGGAGCGGCTGGGGGAGGGGCACTGGTCACGTTACTGGTGGTCAAATCCAAAACTTCTTTCTTTAAACTGTTGTGGACAATCTCAGTAGGGTTAACGAGGGCGCGTGGCTCAGCGAGCCAGCGACACGCCCCTGTACTGTGAATCTTTAGGGAATTCCTCCAGTGACTGGGCAAGGTTGATACTAACGGAACCCAGGACTGATCTTAGCGAGCATTTGAAAATGGCTGGTGGCGAGTTCGGTAGCGTAGAATCTTTTCAGTCAAGCTGTGCGCTTCATTTACTCTTGCAAAGGGGTAAAGTGGGCATAATTTTTTGAGTAGAGTGGAAATTTTCCTAATATTTTTATCTATGTTTATAACAATGAATGAGGATTCAGAAGACAAACAGCATCTGAAAGGCACGTCCTCCCTGCAGTCAGCTCGGCCACCTCCTGAACACCCGCTCTGCGGGCACTCGCCACCCGCCCGAGTGCTGGCAGTTCACTCAATGATCAGTGTTAAGTGTTTTCCTCTGTGGGACGGAAACGCGGGACACAAAACTATAAATACAAAACATGCCTTCAGGCTGTTGTCTGTACAAGTTCTGGTTCTGCAACTTCCCACCATGACCCTGGGCAAGTTTCTTAGCCTCTCTGAGCCTTAGTTTCCTCATCCATAAAATGGGACTAATAATACCCTCAGGGTGCTGATGGAATTTGAAATAAAATATGCAAGTTGTCCAGCACATTGTAGATGATCCAAAACGGGCAGCCACTCACCCCTTCACAAATCTCAAGTCCATGGACCATGTAAATCAAGAATTAATGTACAACCGTATTATGTCTAGGAAACCAGAAATGTGTTCCTTTATTTCTTCTTCCCAAATAGGATTAACTGTGAAAACTAATTTATAAATGTGAACTTAAGGAAAACTCAAGCTCTGAAGGAAATAGTTTGAATTTTGTCTTTATACTCAAGTTAATCCTCAAATGGTCCAAGTTGTCGTCCACTGACTTGGTGACAGTTCAGCCGTCCAGACAGAGCACACGCCCGCCCCTACATCTGTGTGCTGGCCTGACAGGCCTCCCTGGGGATCAAGGACGGGCTGGGCCACTGCTCGGTTTCCATGTGTGAACTCTGTTCTACTGTTAATACTGTCGGGTTTGAGAGATTTTCTTCAGATGCCACGTTTGCTTTGTACGTGTTCTCCATGTTTGAAATAAAATGGGGAGAGGGGGTTACTTGTGTGAATGAGTATAATTTGTGGATAACTTTAAAACAGTTTCACACTGTAGCACAATTCCCTGAGGCACCTTTAAAAACAGTTACTCAGGACCCAGACATTCTGAGTAATCCCCGGATTTTTTCAAGCTCCCAGACAATTCTGACAGTAATCAGCCAAGTTGCTGCCCTCAATAATTCCACTGTTCTCCCTGCCCCACTCCTGGCAGTTTTCACTGGGGAGGCTGGCCCAAGAGCAGGTTCACACCAGAAGACGTGGTACTGAGCCTCTCTCGTGCCCCCGCCATGCTCGCTCTGGGGGACTCAAGGCCCTTCTCCTACTGAGCACTCACCACTGAAAGTTTTTCAGATTCCACACAGATGTTTTACAAATACTCTGCTTACAGTTCTCAGTCCCTCCCGTGTCTCCCTTGGCAGAATCAGCATCAGACATAGATGAGCTCGCTTTCTACATGTCATGAGAACAATTCTGCCTACCAGGACCCTCTGGAGGCGTACAGTTTCAACCATTTGCCCAGGCCTATGTGTTTGTGAAATGAACGTGTCCTGATTATTACAAACAGTAATCCCTGAAGCATTCCTTTGACTTCTGTGAAACCTGCTCGACAGGAGTTCGACAAGTTTCCTGAAGCTATAGCAGAGCAGACTGTCCACCTGCCTGCTTTTTCTTGGTACGTAGGACTGAGCCTGTCTGGATATTTCTTTCCTACTTGGCTGCTCGGGGAAAAGGCTGTGCTGCACTCATCCTAAAAAAAATTAAAATGCAAACACCCTGGGACCATCCTAATCCAAGAGAAGGTAAGTTAATACAAGGGGTGGGTATAAATGTTCACCTGGAGAATCAGAGAAACCTAATCTGGCTTCCTGCGACACATGAGCCTCGTCTGTTTTTAGGATTATGTTGCCCTCACACCCACCTAAACACAGACTGGCACTCAGAAAAGGATTAATGTCTTGAGGGGAGGCCAGGTTGATGGGCCTTAATGGCCTTAAAAAAACAAAAAACACCACACAGCCCCCAGACTAACCACTCAGTTTGGTTTACATTTTTTATTGGGTTTCATTCAGCAAACGCTAGCCGAATGAATGTCTTACAGGGGAGCCTCCATTGCCCCCCGTCTTCTAGAGCAGTAACCAGCCATCCATTGACACCGTTCAGGAAGTGTCCATTGTTTGGACCGTTTCTTCCAGCACCTCGATTTCCAGGGGAGTGACCTTTTCAGTGAGGACTGCAGTGGTCCCTTTCTCACACCTGTACCGGCCAAACCTAGTGAGAAAAAACAGCCAGGAGTTACGATTGGAGAGCTAGAGAGAGAGAGAGTCAAGTACTCAGGCAAGACAGAGGCCTATACTGGAATCTCGGCTCTCCTGACTCCCAGCTCTGTGACCCTGGAGGGACTCAACTGCCCCCAGGCTCGCTTTCTGCAACTGTTAAGGGCTATAGAGCGAGACACCTAGTATATAGAATGTACACTAAAAGATCAGACAAAGCACTGGGCACTTAGTGGGCACTCAGGTTTCCTCGCCCACCTCACCATTCCCAAAAGATGCTGGAAAGCATCTGGTCATTTGCCTACAAGCTTCAACCTCCTGAAAGCACCTCAGTAACCAGCAGGAAGTGAATCCTTCCATTAAGCTGCCACCACCCTTCTCTTGTGTAGCAACAAGACTAGCCTGCTTCCTTAACACTTAAAAAACATTTTGAAGCATAAACAATACTAAAATGACCCACAGCCAGACTCGGCTTGTCATTTGAGACCACACTCTCAAGACTCAAGAAAGGAGAGTTAACTGTCCCCTGCAGGGACATGGTGGGTCACCATTAGGACACACCCAGCACTTTCTTGGAATGAATCTGACAGGTTTCTCTGAGCACAAAGCGGTCTGTAGGATACATATCTGAACTGCTGGTTCTCATGCTGGGGCTGGAAATTACATTATTGTCAAACAGCAGCACAAATCCAACTGCTCCTCTGGTCTGTCCCTGGCTGGGACATTACTCCTGTCAGCCTGGCAGGGACTAACAGAACGCTACTGGCTGTGCCGTTACCATGTGCTCCTCAAAAATCCATCCTCTCAAATGGACACCTGTGCTCAGAGAGCAGGAAGCAGAAAAGAGGGCAATGTGACTGAGCTCTGTATAAATTAAAGAACTTGCGCAGCAAAGAACTGGCCTTTATTT